AATCCTGCACCCTCACGAAGTCTTCGAGTCAGAAAATATAGTACTATTCTATTATCACGAATTTAACACCAGATGTCTTTTGCATTATTGCCCGTATTTCTTAGTACTTGCCGCTTATAAACCAATTCGATAATCCATATAAATTCCCTAAAATTTGGATATTTAATATTTAAATTGAATTTTAGTTAAGACTGAGGTTATGTTTGGCGGCGCAGCTGGAGGGCTTCGCGGCACTCCATCGCTGATTTCCCCTCTTTGGGAGCGCGATAGGGTAACTTCGCGGCCACCACTGGAGAAATTTTCGCTAAAAGTCAGTCGCGGAATCAACCTTGTGGACCGCATTCTGCGATTCTACTTTTACTCGGTTGCCCTTCGATCGTTCGGGTTGTTACGCGAAGTCAAGCTCTGCTCCTTCCCCCTCCTCTCGCGTTCGTCTGTTCGTTGGTCATCTTCTCCGGCAGTTCGGCTCGTTTGTCAGTCATCTTCGGCAGTTCGGCTTGTTCGATCTTCTTCCTTTATCTACTCGTCGAAACGAAGCCCTGTCCATCGTCCTCCTTTTTCTTCCATCCTCTCCCTCAAAGCTACGCAGCCCGTCAAAAAGTCGTTGTGTCATATGTGGATCGAGCATTTCATGCCGGAAAAAGGTACCGCTGCTTGACTGATATTCATTTCAGTCTTTCGTTGAATTCGTGATCTCCGATGCACACAATGGCTTACAGAAATTGCAATCGATCTCTTTTGTCAGTGGACACATTCGACCGTGGCGATCGAAGAAGATAGCATTAGTCGCTGCAGCGGAAACAGTGCGCCTCTCGAGCTCTTTACATTCACAGCTTCTTTCATTGGCTCTTTTTGCCTCTTCGGTCTGATCCGTCCCATTCTTCTTTTCTCTGCCTCTTTTTTTTAAAAAAATTATTTAAGACTTTTGTTTTGTAGGTAACGTATAACTTGTTTAAATGTGAGGCATGTGCAGACAAACTAATTCTAGCGACTGCTTTAAAATAATGCTGAAATTTGGAATGTGTTTTCTTATTTGGATGGATTGCAGAAGTGCTAAAAGTCCATGGTTACATTACATTGGATTAAATTTCTTAAAATTTAAAGATTATTTATCGATAAATTACTTTTGAAAAGCCATCACTCATCTTCTCTGTCCATAAGGTTTCATGGTTTTGGCATTGGGGAGAGATCGATTGGATTTAGCATCAGGACTGAAGTGAGAAATGGGTTGTTTATGCGAATTTCTTTATCTTTTATGTGCTAGTACATTGAGAAAGAAATGCAATACCTTTTATTTCCATTAAGAGGCCCATTGAGGAAATGCTTAACTGTATTTCATAAATCTCAAATCGATTTAATGTTTCATTCAAAATCGATCGACTTTAATTAAATTATAATATTTTCAAAGGAAATGTAACATTTGTAGCATCTAAGATTAAGTAAGGCAGTATGTTTGTCAAAATTAAGATTTGTGTTATATGCACATACATAAGGATTGGATGGTATTGGTTTCTTCTGCAACTCAAGTTAGCAGACCATCAGTCATGGTGGGAGGCTTCTAGTTTTATCAGGATAATTGCTCCACCTCTAAAGTTAAAACTCAATATGCTTGCAATAGCAATATTTTATGAGATACAATTTTTTAATCCAGTCACTCCTCTTTAAATTAAGTGGTATGTTTGCTAATATTTCTATAAAGAATATGCAATATATACTTATGATTTATATTCATACCCTTGTGATTTTGTATTCATGACTCTTATGATTTTGTATCTGATATGCTTCAATTATGGTGGGTTTAATGCCTAAAGTGAAATTTCATATTTACTATTACAATGACACTTTATTAATTTATGTTTCATCCATTTAAAGCTTACATAAATCCTTGGGAACATCTTAGTCAGGCTTCCAAAAACATAAGGTGGGGAGTTCGGGAAATACTTCAACTTACAATGATTCAAGGATTGGTATCTACTTATATTTCATCTTGTAAGAATCTTTATTTTTCTTGGATTTATTTACTTATTTCAGATGTATAATGGTGATCTTTTATACTTCCTTTATGATAGTGTTTTTTTCATCAGAGCTATGTCTTTATGATCGTGATTGGTTTTGTCATTAATCAATTTGTTTATCTTTTGTATATCCTTTGTGATAGTATTTTGTCATTAATCAATTTGTTAATTGTTTTTTACTCGTGTTTTATTTGTTAGTTATGTTATAATCAATTTTCTGATGCTCTGATGCTATCAGTAACAATGGCACTGTTGATTACAGGAACAAATATCATAGTATTAATAAACATGGAACATAGCCATCAATGCAGGAATTTTTTTTTTATGCACAAAATCAAGAGTATGAGCGTGGAATCAAGTAAATAAGATGCCTTTAGTTTCAGATAAGGCATCTTAGTTGAATTCTCATCAGCTTTATTTCAATCATTTGGGTTCAACTTCATTAATTTTCATTCTCTACTTGTTCCTCGTTGCCGTTCTGTTTACAGTTCCACTATTTCTGTTAGTATTAGTATAAGCCGTGTATATATGTGGCAAGCATGTAAGTTTCAGTTTTCATGTTAGTATAAGCCGTGTACAGGATGAAAAGGAGCATGAGCTGACCCCTGAACTGAAGAGAGCTGTTGCAGACCTCCTAGTGGCAAAGGAAGAGGAGGATCAGTTCTTAACTGATCTGAACCAAGCTGTTGCAGAGAGTATTCTCAGGGATAAGCTGAGGGAGGGAGATGAGGAAGCAAGCACTGCTGAAGCTGCAGAGCTAGATAAGCTCATTTGAAGTTTGGGCGATTTATCACTCAGGCCGTCATCCAAATGAAGTTCTCTCAAGTATTTCATTGATCCCAATCTAATGAAAAGTTAGTTAGTAGCCATGTAGATTGTTCTAAGTACTGTTGCTTCATTTGTTTAGCAGTCGTCTAGCAGATTGGATACATATTCTCTGGAAACCATATACTGTGCATCGTAGTGAAATCTACTAGTTTGGATTTGAAGTTTATTATTTTAAAAATGGTTTATTGAGCGTTGTTTTATTCTGAATTGATCAGTAACAGCCAATGTATGGCTTCTATCATCTTCTTTAGTTTCTGCTTAAATGGATTCCAAAGATTTTACATCATTTATTTGTATCAACTCACAGAAAAATCTTAACTGCAAAATATAGTTCGAGCGATTTACACAGCATAATCAAAATAATGCCATTTCTTGCTAAATCGTCTTTTCCACTGAATTTTCTTTTTCTGTAAAACATCTAAATACCATAATCTGCAGAAATTCCAATGTCATATGTCTTGGTTTTCTTACAAGTTCAGATTTTGAAGCTATCCTTCATTTTTTCAGGTAATCTCTGCTTCACAAGCTGTTATGGTATGACTTATATATCATATAGGGACAGACGCTGGAGCGAAGCGGAAGAATCTGTCCAAATCGGGAAGTTACATTATGTGGGTTGGGGGTGCTGGGTCAACACCCCGTTATACGGTACAGGGGTAATTTGGTAATTACATATTGTACTGTAGGGTTTACTCTAGGATTATAAATAGACATGTTTGTAATTCTAGGTCTTTGAAAGAGTTGAATTTTTTATTCTGTATTCTTTTCTGAATTAAAAAAAGGAGGTCACCGCTCTGCTCCCGAGAATGTAGGCATCTTTGCTGAACCTCGTTAAATCTCTGTGTTCTTCTGGATTTGTGCCGTTCTTGTTTTTTCTTCGCCCTATTTTCTCTACACAAGCCTATATGCCAATGCAGAGTTTGTGTTTTTAAAACATCAAGCAATAAGCTTAAACCGATGAAATTGGAAAATATGCTTCATATTCTCTCTTTAAAGTTTAAAGGCAGGTGATTACGAGGCTTTTCATTAATTTTAATTTTCTTAATTTCATTTTATTAAAATTTATATATTGTTATTTATTGATCAATTAATTAAATTTATAAATATATTTTTATGTTCTTAATTATTTTATATAAATACAAATTTTCTTAATTATTAAACTACTTAATTATTCATTAATATAAATTTATTCTTCGAGAAATAATTTATTTAATATAAAAAATATTTTATATTTTGTTTTAAACAGCTATTGAAGAGGGGTGGAGTGGTCATTTTTCCATAAACAGCTGCCCGACGGCTGATTTCATACAGCTGCACCAAACAGACAGTCAGCTTCCCTGCAGCGGCTTCCTGGGGCAGCGCAACTGCAGCTGAAAAGCTAAGAAACAAGAAACTGCAGCTGCGCCAAACATACTCTCAGAAATGGCATTTGGGTAATTTCATTGAGTTTGAACATACAAAATAAATTGTCAATAAGGAAATTTACATACATAACATGCATTCTCATGTATTTACATATTTCACATCTAACCTTCACATTTACACTCACAATACTCAAATCTTTAGCACCATACCGAAATTAATACTATTATCAAATTTTAAGTGAAATATACATTTTTTTTATACATATGTTGAGATAAAATAATATTAATTTAAGGTTGTGACATAATAAAATGTTAAATAAAATCATCAATTAGAAGAAATAATAAAATATTACTTAATATAAAATAAAAATATTAATTTTTAAAATATTTTTTATACTTTTAAAAACAAAATCTTCAAATTTTATATATTTTGAATATATTTTATATTAATATTTTTTTTTAAACGAGCCGGCTCACTGGCTAACGAGTCAAGTCGGCACTAGCTTGAGCTTGGCTTTTTAGCCCATTGAGTTCCATCTCTAACGGCCGGCTTGACACATTTACACCCTTAGTTTCAGGAAAAAAGAAAGATCTTAGAGGAAAAAGGAGAGGAGAGGTGGGGATCGACGTCCAGTCGGCTTGACACATTTACACCCTTAGTTTCAAGCGAAATTGAAAAGGAGAAAGAACAGGAAAAAAGAAAGATCTTGAGGAAAAAGGAGAGGAGAGGTGGGGATCGACGTCCTAAACCACGCCCAGTTGTCTCTATATAGCCGCAGGAGGCAGTAAACAAGCGAAGAAAACGAAGTTAGAAAGTGCGAGCAGGAGAAGAGAAGGAAAAGATCGAAATTTGGTATGAGTCACTGATCAAGGAAAGAAACAAATCATGCGGGAGGAGCCTCCTTTGATATATTTTTCCTCATCTAGACCGTCAAATCTAATCAAGATTCATGCCGACTGTTTTTCTTATGGAGAACATACATATATAATTGGTGGTATTTCACATTTTAAAAGTTAATGGTATTATTTTTATGTGATATGAAATATCCGGGTGGTATGTATGTTAAAAGCAAAGTTTTAAGGGTTAGATATGTCAATACATAAAATTTGTGTGGCATGAATGTAAATGCCCCAGAATACTCAGCAATTCGTCTACCTCATCTGAAGTCAGTATTTTTATTTTATTATTTTTTAAATTTTTTATTTAAGAGGAGAGAGAGGGAGAGAGAGAGAATTATATAAGGAATTAAGAGTCGTTCTAATATTCATATAAAAAACTTTTACCTATATCACACATAAAACTTCTATAATTACACAGCACTTTAGTGAAATAGACCTGTACATGAAAATCATTATTTCAATAATAAAGCATGATAATAGTATTATTTTTCATGTGATACTAAAGATTATTACATGTGTAAATATGAAAATTTAGGCATAAGATATGTAAATACATAAGAATTATGTCCATATGTTCATGAATGCTCATATAAGATACCCTTAATCTTTTAGATCTTTTGAATAAAGTTCCAAGAAGCATACGAATTGTGTGTTATGTATGTAAATCCCCCTAATCTTTTAGATCTTTTGAATAAAGTTCCAAGAAGAATGTTCTTAATTTGATTTTTAGTGACATTTGATTTTTAGAATTTTTGTCCCATTATGAAAGGAAGACCAAATGGCAAATGAGCATTTTGCCCATGACATCTTAATTTATTTTAAATTACTTGTTCATCATTGTTCTGTCCATCTAAGGTTGACAGAATCTGCCATAAAAAATAAAGTCTAATATGCCCAACGGCTCTTACTTATATATAGTTGAACTTTCTAAATTGAAATCTATGGTTGTTTACTCTCATCATGCAACCAACCCTCATCTTCGTCCTTTTCTCCCTTTCTCTCCTCTGTCACGCACAGAGCCGATATGACTACCCTTCGGCGAACCTCAACACCACCTGGATCAACAACCGCCACTTCGCCTCCAACTCAATCAACTTCATCAGCGGCGCCAAAGTGCGCATCATCCTCCTCAAGAGCTCCGGCGGCCCCAGCTTCGCCTGCGGATTCTACTGCTTCCCCCCCTGCCATGGCTTCCTCTTCTCCATCTTCCTCATCAACACCACCATTTTCTCCGAACTCTACACTAATATCAACCACGACCTACCTTTCTTGTGGTCGGCTAACCGCGAGCGCCTTGTCAATTGGAACGCCATCCTTCACTTCACCAAAGGCGGTGACTTGATCCTCCTTGACTCCGACGGCACCTTCGTTTGGTCAACCAACACCTCAAACCGCTCTGTTTCATCCCTGAATCTCACTTCTTTCGGCAATCTCATGCTTCTCAACGACAAAAATGAGACTGTTTGGTCTTCCTTCGACCACCCAACGGATACTCTGCTTAATGGCCAGACGCTAAAACTTGGACAAAGCCTTACTTCCAATTACCTTGCCGATAATACCACTCGAGGTATGTACTATCTCTCGATTCTAGGAGACGGCTTTTACGCCTATGTTAACTCCAGCCCTCCTCAGCTTTACTTCAAGTTATTCCAAAATATCAGGAAAATAACTCCAGCTTACAATCTCACGTTGAAGGACGGCCACCTTATATGGCCTGATGGTAATGCTAAGGTAATTGTATTCCCGGAGAATTGGGCTGTTCTGTTCATTAGATTGGATTACGATGGCCATTTGAGAGTATATGGAATTGGACAGAATTTCAATCAAGGACTAACGATGTTGTCTGATTTGACAAATTTTCTTCTTGGTTACTGCGATTATCCCATGGCTTGTGGGGAGTATGGGATTTGTTCAGAAAGACAGTGCAGTTGTCCTGTAAATACTAGTGTTGGAGACTCCAGTTACTTCAAGAGGGGCAATTCGCTTAAAAGCTGCTCTCCTGTGAATCAGATTTCCTGTCAATCTGCAGAAAACCATCGCCTTTTGCCTTTGGGCAACATCTCCTACTTCAATTACATCGATCCGAATGCTGCTGCTCTTCGTGGAACGGATGAAGAGACCTGTAAGCAAGCTTGTTTGATGAATTGCTCCTGCAAAGCTGCACTTTTTAAGTATGGAGGAGATTTTTTCCATGGAGATTGTTATCTCCCTACGGAGATCTTCTCCTTGAAAAACTCTTCTTCGGGTAACTACAACTCATCAGCTTACATCAAGATGCAGATTGCACCATCGGTAACAGCAAATCATTCTTCAACATCGAAGGAAAAATTAAACAGAATCAGTGTATTCATCGTCATACTCGGAAGCTTGCTCTTCACATCCTCTGTGATTTTGTTCATCATTCTCCATTTCAGAAGGCAAAAAGGACCTAAGAACTCACTAGTTATCTAAACTAACCAAGGCTTTTATACTCAGACTAACTTAGGGTGAGTGTTTGGCCCTTGGTTTGATGTTTAAGTTAGCAAGCCTAAAGTTTGTGCTGGATATACCTATGTTTTGTTCTTGTTATTTATCTTGGTGTGTTTTAGATACATATTTGAAGTTTAATATTTGCATTAATGTATTGCTTGATTTCTAAGTTTCGTCAATCATATTGAGAAATCAGAGTTCTCTAAATTTGATGTTTTTTTATTTGAGATTTGGTTTGTTTATGAGGCTTGCGGAGAAAACTGAGCAGTTCTCATCCTTGCTTTTGTTTTTTATATCTTTTAATTTTTTTTTGTTTTTTTAACATAAAATAACATATAAAACATGAATAACATATAAAACATGAAGTAACATATGGAATATTAAATAACATATGGAAATAACATATGAAATGATATGAGATAACATAACATGTATTTTTAGCCTTGAATTAGACTTGGGTCAGGATCGGGCTAGGATAAGCTTATTTTCCAACTTAGGTTAGCTCAAACTTGAGCTACTGTACAATATGGGTTAGCTAATTTGGACTTGGGTTGGACATAGGCTGACTTGAGCTAAGTTAGGTTTGATTTAAGTTGACCCGAATTAAGTTGGATCAACCCGGATTGATTTGGTTTTAATCTGGGTTGAGTTGGGTTGCCTTTGTTTAAGTTTGACCCAAGTTAAATTGGGTTAACATGGGTTGGGTTTGGGTTTGCCTTGGGTTCAGTTGGGCTGACCTGAGTTAAGTCAGGTTTGGTTTGGGTTTGACACGGGTTAAGATGAGTTGCTGACCGCGACTTTATATATGCTTAAAACTATAAGATAAACATGAAAGTAATAAATATTCAATAATTGTAAAGTCACACTTATCAACGCAAGTATACGTATCGCTCAATTAATATAGGGCTCTAATGAGTTCTAGATATCGATCCCACAGGGAGTAAGATTAGAACTACGAACTAAGACTTTAGAAAAGTAATACTTTAATCACAACAACGAAGTTCAAATTGCTTATCTGTCACTAATAGGCAATTGAAATAAATATATAAATTTGATAACTATTAAATAACTAATTATACTAATAAAAGTTCAAATGTGATATTCAATATATAAGAAAGCATCATTCTCCTTGTCAAGAAATTATAATGAATGGATAAAGTGAATTAGTTCAAATTATATTGTGTCAAATAGGAGCATACATATTCTTTACCCTTTAGTCCAGGCATAAAGAACATTGACTAATCCTATGCTTGTTTACTGAATCTGCGGCTAGGCTGGGAGGATACCGACTCTCACTTCGATCTCATGTAGAGTTTATCTGAATCTGCAACATACTTGTTTATCATTTTCATGGCTTCACCAATTTAAATCACCATTTCACAAATCTCAAAACAAGGAGAAAGACAGAGAAAACTACTCAGATCTCATGTGGAAAACACAACAAAACTCAGAATTCATATATAAAATCAAAGTCATACAAA